GGGGGGGTGTGTGCTCAGGTGTACCCCCCCACCCCAGTGCCGTACTGCCAGTCAAGCTAGAGATGCCCCAAACATCAACCTTCAGCCAAGAGGTCTCCTGTGGGAAAGGTGACACCCCAAAGCCATTCTGGGGCCTTGAATCGCTGCCGAATCCCTCGCTGGGGGATAGGGCAGGCTGTCCCCAACCATCAGTGTGATGGGACCTCTAAGAGGCCAAGCGTGGAGGACGCTGCCTTTGCTGGTGGCACCCACTGCCCGAGCCATGGGGAAGGCATCACCTGGGAGCCAAGCTCCGCGCCTGCCCCTCCATCCCCCCGTGTTACAGGACACACCCAAGGTCACGCCAGGAGAAGAGCCAGAAATAGAAGCCAGGCTCCTGCTTTCCTTTGTTCAAACAACCCTTCCTCAGAAACAAACCTCCTGCTTTCGTTTTTGGCATGCAAGAAACCCCGCTCCGCGCCCTGCCTGTGGCTTTAGCCACGCGCTGCCTGTGCAGGGGGCCACAAGTCTCCTGTGAGCAAACCTCCGCCGAAGGCAAAGCCTCTCGTGGTGTTTGATCTTCCCAGCATGACCCCATTGCTCCCCAGTTATGTGAACAACTGACTGAGATACAACGCCGTACATAAGCCCTTCTCCCCGGACCGTGCTGCTGTCAAGCCTGCACCTACAGCTGGCCAGGGGTGCAGCGCAGTGAGCTCTGTGGGAGTCACCCACGGCCTCCACGCCTTCCTGGGAGGATCTGCTGCTCCTCCAGGTAGCTGAAGAGCACCGAATCTGGCCTCTGGCCGCTCAGTCCAGGGCACCGAGAACGATCCCTGCTTGAGAACAGCCCTGCTTTCCCCACCCCCACGGTGGGATTTCCTCCCCGGCACAGCGACCTGCCGCCCTCCGCCACGTTACGGCACTTTGCTCCGAACTCCAATTTTAAGCCCGTGTCTGCCAGGGACCTCAGCTACAGAGCGAGGAACAGCGAGATGGTGGCAGCCGGGCTGCTGCCAGCTGCCATGCAGTGAAGGGTTTCTTTTCAGCAAGGCAAGAATGATGCTGCTGTTGGGAGCATCTCCAAGACTCAACACGGCACACGTAGCAACATTCCCTGCAGCAATGGGGTCAAAACCGAAAGTTAAGGAAGGTTATTATAGCGGGGAGTCACACAGGGAGATCTTTCAAGCGACAAAGTTGTTTCAATACCGAGGCTGCAGAGGCCGAGCAGGTCAGGAGAACATTTCAGAGTTTTGACCAAATGCTTTTTTGCCTTTTTTTCTTTTCTTTTTTTCCCCCTCCTCTCCTTTCCCCTGCATCGCCCAGAAAAGTTTGTCTCTCCTCTCTGAGCTCTTCAGGTTACAAGGAAACAAGAGACTGCCAAAAGGCACTGGAAACAGCTTCAGCTCTAAGAGCCACCCTCCCACGCACGCTGCAGTTTCTACCGCTCCAAGCAAGAGCTGCCGGGCTGCGCTAGGATGTCAACAGCCAGTCGCGTTGCTGACTCGGGGCTCGCCTTTTATCTCAGGGGAGACAAGGGAAAAAAGCGCATCCGAAACTTGGGCCGTCTGGAACAGTTTAATGGCAAGCTTCCCACTCAGAAGTAATCAAAGAGCAATAATTAACATGAGTTTACTGTAGGAGAAGATACCCTGCTGCATGCTGTGACAAAGCTGGAATGAAAAAATCTGTTCGACTGCAGGCTAAATTTGATTTCCTTTAAGTTCCGTAGCTGTCTGGCTTAGCAGCAAAACCCAGCCACCAACACCAAGCTGCTACTTCTGTTTGCCAGGTAACGACTGAAAACATCCTGATTCCACCCCCTCCCCCCGCCCCGCTTCCCCTCCAACGCCAAGGAGGGGCCAGCGCCCGAGAGCTGTGCAAGCACCACACGCCATTAACCAGCCCCTGCCCTCGCCGCCAACCCACTCCAGCAACGAACCGCGGCTCGGCACCAACTCTCGCTCTTATGCAATTCAAGAGGGACTGCGTTTTCACTGGCCTCCTTTTCAAGGCGCTTGCTTGCCAGTGATTAATGCTGCTTAAAGCGGCTCAAGTTTCAACACTCAGGTCCACTCTTGCCAGCAGCGCTGGGCCAGGACTGTAAAAAGCTCCAGAAACTGCAGAGATTGTGGTTAACCAAGGAGCCCAGCACGGGCTCTCGCGTCCACTTGAAAAGGGAACGGAGCCTTTATAAGCAAATCAACACTACTACGAACAAGCAGCGCGTCTCAGAGGAGCCCAGAGACCAGTTAAGAGACATTTCCGTGCGTTTGGCTATGATTTTCCCCGTTCACAAAAGACAGGACGTTGCAAGTTTCATCTCGATGAACCCAAACCGCACGCGCTTTCTCCCAAACATCTGATTTCACAGTTTCAGTCCCAGCAACAACCGCTTTCCAGAGGAAGCGGCTCCAAACCCAGCGCAAGGTTTTGCACGGGTATCCAAACGCTTTGCCCCCCGGAAAACAAAAACCCAGAACAATCACTTACGGTTGTCAGACTGGAAATCTGGGACAAACTGTTCGTCATCGGGAACCTGAGCTAAAGAAACAAAAATGAAGTGTTTTTATGGCGTTTTCTGTTCTCAGAAAAACACTCACGGAGAGATTTTACACAGCAAAAGGCAGAGACTTGCCTTCAGCTAGCCAGGCCTCTTGAAGCTGGCTGAGATCCTGGAAGAGCTCTGGAACAGAGTGAAAGACTTATGCGCTCCACAGAAGAATAAATAAAACTGCCATTATTCGCAGGATTATGCCTAAACCGAGGAACGCAAGGAGAGCGGCCTCGCGGGGCCACGGCCGCCTGGGCCAGCCCTCCCTACCTTCCGAGTCGTGGGCCAGATCGGTCTCCAAAAATTTCCTTTTCCTATCAGACCCTGGCCGGCCTCGGCCCTCCTCTGCGCAGGACTTCTGCAAGAACCAGGGCGAAAGCGTTTCGGCAGGGCGGCAGCGCCCGGGGCCAGGGTGTCCCCAAGGCCGGGGGTGTCCCCAGCAAGGGGCGGGGAGGGAGGCACAGGGCAAACTTACCCCGGGACCCATGAAGGGAACCTGCTGGTCGTAGAAGCCGTCCATGGTGCGGGGGAGGCGGGCAGAGCCCCCGGCCCGCTCAGCATCGACGCCGGCCCGGGAAGGGGGTCCCCG